ACAGGAAAAACATTATTAGAATGAGGATGTATGTAGGCCAATATTGGCCAAAATTGACTACCACTACTTTTTGATAGTGGTAAACCATCAACACCAATTATAACTTTAACCTCATCATTATGTTTGAATTTTAATAAATGTCTTGTAATGCCTTCACTTAAACCAAAATGGTAATATGTTCCTGGATGAATATTTATAATATTTGTGGTTTTTGAACAACCTGAATTTAATAACGTTCTGCTGTCTAAAGGCAATGTTTGAAACAATGATGGGTCATCTTCTTTATTTAAAATATATAATAGTTTGTTAAGAGTTGAATGTGGATCATTACATTCTAATGCCCAATTTTTAAGTTTTATATTCAATGGTTTATTATCTTCATTACAAGTTTGTGTATCCGTAAAAGTTTCAGACATGTTTTCAAGATTCTTATTAGGTTCTACAAATTTGTTTATGTCTTCAAATAATAAACTGTCAGACAAAATATCATTAATAACTGGTGCATGTGATTGTAGACTTATTTTATCACTACTGCAGATTGACGAACTCAATGGTTCTATTAAATTAATTATTTCCAAAGGTTGATTGATTACTTTATGACTATTATTATTAATAAGAGATATATCAGAATCATAACTACAGTTTAATAACAAAAAGTCATTTTGAATTTTTCTTCGTTTTGTTCTATAACTTTTGATCATTTTGTAGGGACCTATATAAGCATTAAAATAACCAATGTTTTAAATACAATTTTTGAAAATTAATCAAATCAATATTGTGTAGGTAGGTACCTATCATGTTATGACAATAATATACACCGCATAATAATATAGTTGCCTACAGTTACAATAACTTTTCAGTATTATGTTAATGCTTTATATTAAAGCTTCACCAACAAATTATAAATATTATTTGAAATAAATAAAACTGTAAATATACATCTTAGGTATAATTTCCTCCAATTTTGCTTATTACCTATGTACCTATTAGGCATTACCAATATAGACTACATTTTCAGTTTTTAACATTTCGGTTTAGACATGTTCTTAGGTATTTTATTATTTATAATATTATAGTATACTATGAGTATATATAGTGTATTTATATGTACTTAAGAGAACATTATACAGGCATTTGTTGTCTCCGTCTTACAAGTGCGTAACATATTATAGAAAATTTTACACTTAGCAGATCATGTTTACCTCCATTAGTTTAAAAATTAGAGTAAATTGACCTGTTATAAAATTTAAAAGTAAGATTATTATCTAGGGCATCCCATAGGCTTTTTATTATATTTTAATTTTAATTGAGTTATGCGAGTATTTAAGATGTACAAACAATTTACAATTGCTGAGCTTGAAATTTTCTCTTATCCGCACTTGTAAGACGGATAAAACAAATACCTGTCGAATGTCCTCTTAATTAAAAATAAGTAATAGCATAGGTAGGTACTTACTGCGTATATAATATACTTATTGCCTTAAGTAATTACCGTTACTCGTACAGACTTCTTTTCCAGTGAATTTAATACCTATTATAGGTACCTATTATTTATATATAAACGTGGAATAATTTTGGAATAAACCTCAATGCCTCAACTTTTTCCGTGGCATGAAAGTGAAAGTCGATTACTATCGGTATTTGAATTTTGAATATAAGTAAATGGTTGTCGCCTGCCGATTACACTAAGTCATAAAAACACAAGACGTACAAAACAAAAACGTATGCAGTAACTAATTTTACTAATTACTGGCATAACCATAACGCAGTGACAGCGGTCGTTTGTCGTTACTCGCGGATATAAAATATTTTACCAATAAGTTCTTTGTTCAGCACATCCAATGGGCAATGAGCAAAATATGCTGGTATTGCCGCGTATAATGTATATACGTACCTATTACATAATTATAAAGACGCCGGGGTTTTCCGTATTTTGTCTGATATTAAATTATAATAATATCATCAATGATTAATCTATTCTATAATAATATTATACATATCTATTGATAGACACGTGTGCGTCCGAGGCCAAGATAGCAAAGAGACGCGAAGTGCAGTAAACACTATGCACTTTACATAATTACATACCTTATTTATATATATATTATATTATGTTGCTACATCAGTTGTGTACCCTAGGGTAGGGGGTCTGGCCCCCATTTATTGACAGAATTTAAAATTCTTAAGGTGCAAACCACTGATTGTATACTTTTTCCATGTTAAAAAAATTTGGACCCCCCCCCCCTTTGAAAAACTCAAGACAATATAAAGGGCTTACATATTTTTACGCTAACATCCTCTTAAGTTTTTCTGTCACCGTTTCGATGGTCAATGTACTTAACTAGGTATCGTCAAATATAGTTAGTAGCACGGACTAAGATATCTTAGTATATTAGATATCTTAGTTCGTGGTTAGTAGTTATTACCTACTGTAGTAGTATACAGTATACAGTAACTGTTCTATGGTAGTATAGTATATTTTGCGATTTAATTCATAACTTAAAGAAATTTATTGATTTAAAAAACAAGTAAAAATGCAAAGAAATATAGTAAATACTTATAGGTATGCAAATAGTGCTACATTTTAGGAAGTGCTATAATTATGTATACTTATTAGTTATTTCACCAACTCATTGGGGGCTTTACCAAATATAAATTTCAAAATCATTAATAACAATGTTACCTATATTATAGCTTCAAATTTCAATAGGTACCTATCATTTCGTATTTAATTGTATACGAAGTAAATAATATTGCCTTATTATTACAATATAATATTATTACACCAATACAGTTAATTTAATACAAATAACATAGGTACGTTTGATATTGATTAATATAATGCAGTATTAAAGAATATAATGTATTAATTTAAAACTTATTTCTTTGTTTTTATGCTGTAGGTACTAGGTATACGGCCTATATTTAACCAACACTCTGTGGCGTATTTAGTCCGGGGCCCCTTAAGCTAGTTCTAAGTTGGAGGGGGGGCAGCACAGGACCTTTATCATTACATTAAAAAGAATACTGAACATTTTTTTCTTAAAATTATTGAAAATAATTTGATTTTAAATACGAAAAAAAATGGTGGTGGCGTTTATTCTCTTGTATATCATCTTGGTTTTTTAAAAGGGTGGTTATAGTTATAAAAATAAATTATCATAGCTTGTAATCAGTAATTGCAGCACAGCTATTCTAAGAATATTATTTCTAAGGCAGCCACTATCAAGTAGGCTTTACAGCTCTTTAATCGCTATTGATGAAAATATTGTGATTTGTACGTCTTACGTCTTACAATCCTTTTAAGTTAGCATTTTTATTAGTCCCTAGAATCACTATTGAATAATCAATATTTTTATTATAATTTAATTTCTGTGTTAAAGAGGGCCTCTGTCTTTTATAGCATATAGGGTAGGTACCCACCACTGCCACTGCCAACACTGATTCTGTTTTATAATTATTTAAAACATCCCACTTAATATTTAGAACGGATAAGTCAGTAATCCCTATTGCTGTGAGGGCCAGTTGCACCATCTCTGATTAAAGTTAACTGGAGTTTAATCGGCCGAATTTGCCCGGTTGAATATCTGTTATCAGCTGATTAAGCTTAATCATAGTTTAATCGTAGACGGTGCAACTGGCCCTAAGTAAGTACTAAGTTATAATATACTTGTTCTCAACCCAGTGGTGTCATTCTAGTCCTTGAAGGGGGGGGGGCAAGATTTTTGACTAGCCCATAATAAAACTGAAAAAAAAACCGCTCGCTAACAATTACATTACATTACAATTGCATTTTCATCTCAATACAAATAGCCTTCTTACATAATTTTATACTTAATGGTTACTATCATAGCCATAAATAACCCATTTGTTTTGAGACATAACAATGGCTAAATAATGAATGCATAATATGTAGATATACCTAAATATATTACCTATTAGCTACTATATGAAGGCTCAAACTAGCCCATACCCGGCCCGCTAATGACAGGGGGAGAATGTCCACCCTAACCCCTCAAATTACGTCACTGCCTCAACCAATTTTTAATTCGTTGCATAGTTGAAAAACTGCGTTCACATATTATGTTACAGAACTTATTATAACTGCTCATACTAGGAAAGACACTGTTTGAATTGTTTTTTTTAAATAAAAACGTCAAATAAAAAGTCAAGTAAAAGTCTTACATAAAATAAACAAAATATGGATCTTTTCAGTTTTCTCACATTATTTTTAGTGTTCTATAACAGTGGCCAGGCTGTGCTGAAATTAGAGAAGTACTAAAGAAACCCCAAACCCCCTCCTGCACCTTGCATTTATGCCTATATTAGGATCATAATATATAATAGATATATATATTACATAACTGGCACCTAATAATAAATAATTATAATTATAAGTAAATAAATCATTTATACTTATTATATATTTGACATAATTATAATTTATAATATTAGATTGTCTACCAAAAATCTGAATAACAACCGCAGTTCATAATTTCATATATTATATATTATTAACTATATTATATATTATAATAATTTTATTATGTTCTCAAAAGTTATAAAAATATGTTATCTCAATATTTTTACTTAATGTTTCTTAAAATATTTTTTCTCTCTATTAAATAAACTAATAAACACATTGCCACAATCTCTACCAGAACGTATGTTATCAATAATTTATAGAAATCAGTGTCTCAAAATTTTTACTTACTGTTCTTTAATATATTTCCCTGTCCATTAAATAATCACATTGTTACAATATTTACAAGAACATATGTTGTCAATAATACATAGAAATACGTTGTCTCAATATTTTTAATTAGCTTTCCTTCAAATATTTTTCTATCCATTCAACAAACACATTGTCACAATATTTACAAGAATATATGTTATCAATCATTTTAGAAAAACGTTGTCAACTTATATTTTATTGATGTTTTCTACAATATTTTCTTCATCATGTAAAAAACATATTTTTACAATGTGTTTTAAATATTATTTTTAAATTCATTTTTGTTCATCATTTAAACATATTGTCAAAATCTTTTTAAACAAAATATTTCCAAGAACACAAGGAAAACATATGTCTACAATATAAATGTTTTCTTATTGCTATCTGGGAATTTTTAGTTGCGTAGGTATATCTACAACATCCACATTTTTTTATTGGAAAATACAATAAAAAATTATTACATGCAATTATTAGGCCAATTCCACAGCCGAGCGTACAGTGCTTAAACATGCTTTATTAATTATTATAACTTATAAGTTATAAGTTACCTAAAACACATAGTTAAATTGTTAAAATGATATAATTATAATGAAAAATTAATTTTTAAAATAATTTTTAAATTTATGTAAATTGATAAATGTTAGTAAAAATATGAATGTAGTCTTTGTAGTCCTTTGCTATTCTATAAATGTTCAATTCATAATTTACTATTTACTAATAGCTTTGAACTTTTAAGGCATTCTGACTGTCTAAAGCCAAATTTTTAAATATGGGTAAACGAAGAAAAGTGCAATGTGGAAGTTGTGGAAGTATATTTGACAATGATTTTAAGACCAGACATGAGACAGCTTGTCACAATGGAAAACGTGTAAGAGTTAAGGAACCAGGGGCTCCTAAGAATCCGTTTGTTGCTGCGCTGAAAGCTTCTAATAAAAATGCACAAATGGCTTCATCAAATTTGTCGGA